ATTTTGTTCCAGTAAGATAACAAGGTATCTGAAATAGAAAGGAAACACAGCTCAAGGCGTCTGGTGCCCTCCCTCAAGCCCAGAGTACCAGTTACTGGGAGCCCTCCATGAAACGGAAATTATCATGAGTGGTGGAGGGGTGTGACCACCCCTGCATGAGCCAGAGGAGTAAGGCCTTCAAACATGGAAATACTCATGAGCCCCATGGGGACATCTTAGGGAGGCTAGTTGGATTAGAATGAGGCATGGGAGGAGCTCAAGCCGAATGATCTGGGGGAGGGAACAAGTAGGGTGGGCACAGAATGCGTCTGGTCCGTTGGACCTCTTCCTCTGAGCTTCCTTGAAAGGATGCCACAAGCATTGACTTGGACCCCGGAGAGGGACCCAGCGAGGTGTCTGAAGAGAAGCCTGGTCCAATGTTGCCTCATGTTCCTTTCTTGCCTCTATAACTCCCTCCCCTGCTGGGTGCTCCTCTCAGTGAGTCTCCATCTGCAGAGGGCAAGTCAGACGACAAGACAGACTCTGAGCAGGTGCTGTTTCCCTCCCCGCTGTCCAGGATGTGGAGACACCAGTGCAGAGAGATGTCCCAGGCCCAACACACTAGAAGACGATCTGATCTGCTTGGCTAGTGCAAAGGCGCTTCTCACTTGCTTGCTACACCAATGCTGTGCTTGCCCTGCTCCTTTACAACAGGAATTCTGGGGGAGGTCAACTGTTGGAGGAGCATCTTAGCCTGCTTAGCTTGTTGTGACTTTAACTGCTTTGAGCTTTATTAAATTTTCTGGCCAAAACTGCAATTTGAGTTGAAGTTCTTTGCCTAGCGACAACCAGGAGTCACCTTCAATGTTACTTTTCAGCCAACTCACATATCATAGCCCTGTAATGACTATAAACGCTAACGAGCAAATGTACGGATCCCAGGAAAGTAGATCATGGCCACTTTGGTCTTCTTCCTGTCATGCTGCTGGTGCGCTGAGTTAACTCATGGTTTGGCTTAGAGGAGGGGTTCCCAAACCGTGATCCATGGACTACCAGTGATCAATGAGATTTATTCATGTAGTCTGCAGTGTCTCTGCATTAAATATTCTTACTGATTTTTAAACTGCATTTTAAGTGCTTTTTAAATTTCACTGTGTTTTATCGCATCATCGCTTGAATTTTATGGAATTCAAACTGAAATGCAATAAAATACAATGTAATAAATAAAAGAAGTAATTGAATACAATTAAAAACCACCCAGCACAACATATTACATTTGCTGCAATAGGCAGAAAAATCACTAAGTGGCCCACCCGTGTTGCAGTGACACTGGGAAAGGCCAAGATACCCTTCTTGGACACAGCAGAGCAACTGACCTTCAGAAACCATTTTAATGATGTAAAGGTAGCAGATCAGGAGGCTCCGGATCTCGTACTGGTCCAGCCGCCCGAACTGGGAGATGCTGCTGCGTGTAGAACTTCTCCGCATCTGTTTTAATCATCACATGCCAAAATTGGAACAAGAAAGACAGAAAGAAAAGAAAAAAGGTTGCTAGTAATGAAGTCCCAGAAGACTAGCCACACGGATCTGTCACATTGATTAGATTTTAGGGCTTGAAATAGACTCAAGGGCTGAGGCAGAGTCCTAGTCTAGTGAGCTACTTGGGGTGGTGTGCATTCAAGGCTCAAACCCCTTTTTCAGGCACGGAAGGGGGTAAGCATGGTAACATGGGCCCCTGTTATTGTTTGGAGGACAATATGGAGCCAGTGGACTGGCCAGGCTTGGTATAAATACAAGGGGCCTGTCCTTCTACAGAGAGGGCCCTTTGGTGTGCCTAGGCTCCCCTCAGGCTCCCACCTGGGGCCTTTCATCTCTGGCTCAAGCTCCACCAAGTGGCCTCAGAGACACTCCCATGGAGAACATTCCCTCCAGCTCTCAATTCAGGCCCCAGCCAGTCCTGATAAGGGCTGACCCTGACACTGCTCTGGTGATGCCTAGCTGAGGGGGAAAGGAGGGATAAGCCCCTCTCATTCCCTCATGACATGCTTCCCCTTCAAGCTTCAGACTCAGCAGCCGCGTTACACAAAAGGAAAACAGAAGAATTGCAGCTCAACATGGAGCTCTGCTCCAGAGCAACATCTGGAGGGTGGGAAGCAGTGTTGTTTACAAATCTCAAGAGCCACTGCGGAAGAAGCAGCAGCCACTGTCTGCGTTCTCTACAGATTTGGTGGCTGGTCCCCAATTGGGCCTGGAGGGGTGAAGGGCAGAGCAGAGAACAGTAGGTGGAACCAGGTTCACAACAGACGTAACCCAGGGACTCGGAGCAGGGGGAGTGTGGCCGGCCCTGTTCTGCAGAATAGCATTCTTCCTGAGATGCAACAGACATCCACTACCTGCACTTTATGGGAGCAACTGAAGGTGGTTCTGTTCTGACAGGCTTTCCGAGATGGATAACGGAGTCGTTGCCACGAGTATCCACTTGTTAGGGTTTTAGCCTTGTTTTAAATGTACTTGCTGCTTTTGTGTTTTTATCTGTTTCTAATCATCATGTGTAAATCATCTTGATAATGGTGATTAATTAATTAATAAATAAATAGATGGTGATGAATCATAGAATTATAGAGTTGGAAGTAGTAGTAGTAGTAATAATAATAATAATAATAATAATAATAATAATAATAATGGGAGCCAGCTCTAGATGGAGACACTTCTCCCTGCACCCCCACTCCCACATTTTCTACTGGTCCCCCTCCTGCACCTTTAACAGCATGCAGAAATTAAGCAGGTGAAGCTATTCACAGCATAGCTCTATCAGGCTGCTGGGAAAAGCCTGCAGCCTGAGCTCCTGTGCGTTTACTTAAAATAGTTCTGGAATATTGGCATTACATTTTCACTGGTGCTGCATTGGTCCGGAGAGCCAGCTGCCCCTTCACTGCCGAGGGATTCTTTGGAGTCTTCCCTCTTCTGGGCAAGCCCATTCTGGAGAGCCGTGCCATAAACTGTAAAGAGAGGAGAAGGTGGTTGCAAGTCAGTTTGCAGGGCAGTGCCTCATCCCAGCTCAGTCCAGAAATGAAACAAGATTCTTTCTGAGTTGGAAAAAGTCCACATTACACATCTGTGAAGTGGCCCATTCTCTGGGCACATGGTCAATCCCCTTGCAAGCACTCAGTATTCTGTGGCCACTGACCAAGCATGGCTGAGTACTTAAGCTGTTCAAGACCATTCACTGGATGTACAGCATAAGTGGGATTTGACATCTGGAAGCCAATGCTCGTATCTACAGCAATGTACACCAGTCCCTTTTCCCAAACTCAGGAGCCACCTCTGGTGGACAAAAATGTAATTCTATATCCCCAGGATGACTGCCACAGACTCTCTTGCTTACGTGAATCTTTGTCGACGATTAGGCTTGACCTGTTGGAAGGCAATGTGAAATTGCACATAAACTCATCTCTGGATGCCTGGTGGGGAAATGAAAAGATGGAAAGGTTTTGGAGGAGGAGGAGATGTTGGCTCATGTTCAAGTCCAAAGCATGAAGAGAGTCAAAAGAAAACCCGCCACCCCATCAATCTTGGGTTATTAGTCATGACAGAGAAATGGAAACCCCACAGACTGACTGGATTGCTGAGTGATAAGAGCAGAAGAAGGCTTTTGCCTCTGCCTTTAACCTTCCCAAAGGGAACTAGGTCACTGCAGCATGATGGGCCAGATGGCCAGCAAAGCTCTTCTGATGTTCTGCCTCCCTTCCAATTAATGTGCACACTTCCCACATTGCTGGTGCTGGAAGATGATAAAGTGAACTCTTCCTATGTTGTTTTGACAACAACAACAATTTTTAACCCAAGAGCTTTTTGGGCTGCTTCTATTTCTCTTGTAAATTGGCAGAGCTGGAGTGCATAGCCCCAGGCAATTCTGAATAACACAGCTGTTGTTAGTGTAATAGCTCCACTCTGAGCCCAGTTTCTTGCTCATGCTGCTCTGGATGACATTTGCTTGGCTCTCAAGCCCTGTTCAGAAGTTGTGCCTGAAGACAGAAGGGCCACATGAGTACAGGGGCCAGAGTCACATGCAACTGCCACTCCTCCACTATCCCCAGGAACGTCGGCTACAACCGCTCCACCCTCTGACCTTCCATGTTGAATAGGAAAGGTCTGAACAGGGTTTCTAGACACCTCCTTGCCAGTGGGAACCCTGATAACACAGCCTAGCACTGAGTCAGACCATTGGTCTACGCTGACTGGCAGTGGCTCTCCTGGGTTTCAGGCAGGGGACAAACACCAGCCCTGCTTGGGAAATGCCAGCCTGGGACCTTCTGCAGGCAAAGCCACTGAACCCTAGCCCTTCTGTAATGAAGGGTTCCTGGTCTCGAAGAGACCCCCAGATGCACTTAGAAATAACTTGCAGAACTTTGCACTCAGCAGGAGCATGAAGGGTGGCTGCAGCCCTGCCACACCCACGAGCACTCCCACCATGGATGTGCAACCTCTAGAGGGGAAGGTCATTCAAGGAGGTTCTTGCAGGAAAGCATGTTCGCCACTGGCCTTCTCATGCACCCTTACAAAGCAACTGTACTGTTTGTAAACAGAGATAAAAACAGACATTCTCCATTAGCTTGAGGGAAATGCAAGTCATTTTTACTACAAAATTACTCACAGAATTTGACATGGTGCTGCCAGAGTACAGGGTGTCCCGGCCGGCCAGCCGCTGGATGTTCTCCAGAAGAAGTCCAGCCAAGGGCAAGTACAGCAGAGCTATTTTGGCCTGCTGGTTCTGCAAGAGAGAAACGATAACTAAGGGCCAAGCTAGCTGTGACGTATATTTCCTTGTTTTATTTATTTATAACATTTGTTAGTCACTTTATTGATGGAGCCAAGCCATGAGCAGCTTCACCTGTTTAACTTCTGCATGCCATTGTTGCTGTTAAAGATACAGGAGTGGGACCACAGAATCATAGAATAAGAGAGCTGGAAGGGACTACAAGGGTCATCTAATCCAATCCTTGCAAATGCAGTAATATTTTTGTCCAATATGGGGCATGGATCCAGGACCCTGAGATTAAGAGTCTCATGCTCTACTGACTAAGCTACCCAGCTGGTGGGAGTGGAGGTTTGGGGAGAAGTGTCTCCACCTGTAGTTGCATTCATTCATTTATTTTATCCCTTCACCATCATTAGCTGTGATTCTTGCATTGCAAGGGGGTTGGACTAGATGGCCCTTGGGGTACTTTCCAGGTCCACATTCCTTTGATTCTATGATCTTCCCCAGCGAAACCCAAAGCGACTTACAACCAGGCAGAAAACACCCCTCCCCACCACAGAGACATTAAGACCAAGGGGTGGGGGAGGAAGAAATACATCATAAACATCACACACACTTCTAAAAGGCCACAGATAGTTGAGAGCCAAAGGGCTGCTTATACAGGACTGTTTTTGCCTGGTGTTTCAATGGGTCTTGTCATCTGACATGCAGGTTTTAAAAAATGTATCAGCAAGGTAGGGTGGGGAATTGAAATGCGGGAGACGTCCAATTCAGCTCACATCCAAAGGCAGATCTACTAAAGCTGCAATTCTCAAAACAATATGCAAATTGAGGTATGGCTGTCCTTCAGAATTTGCACTTATTTGAATTTCTCAATGTGGTTCTCCAAACAAGCAGTGTTTACAAAAATGCATAAATTAGGGGAAATTGTGTATAAAGATGAATATATTAGTGAGAACACTGAATTGCCTTTTATTAGGGAAACTGTGTTCTTAAGTGGAAACTCAATACAAAAATGTATGTAAAGAAAGAAAGAAAGAGAAAGAAAAAACCGCTATGGGGGTGTTTGCATTTTCCAATACTAACTCTGCAACTGCAAGACCTGGGAATAAGCTTTTTTCTTGAAGGAAAATAAAAGCAGGTTCCCATGAGCCCAACTTCTAAAAAGAAACCAGAAAAAGGTTTCCCACGAGTCCAATTTCTATGCAGGACACTGAATTTGGTACGTGCAGAACTGGAGGAAGCCAGACAGCCCTCAAGGGAGATCATGACAGCAGCGACTGAGGGTTTGATGATGGACAGTCCTGGTAGCAATTACTTCTGAAGCTGGAACTGGGGAGAAGATAAACGTGCTCCAAGCGGTCAAGAAGCAGCTCTAGATACCCCTGGACTCCAGAGTAGGAAGGGGTTAAGCTCCCCAGATACACAAGGCTGCAAATCTTCTTGCAAAGACCATCTTGGGTAGTTTGCCATGGTCGGCTTTCTCTACAGAACTGACAGCAGCGCCTGAAAGATTTTCAACCCTAACGCATTGCTAGCATGGGAAGTGTGATTCCCCACCCCCAAGGTTTCCCCCATTCCCTGGAAATTTCCTACCACCACCCTGCCTTCCTGAGACTCAGTGTGGGAAGCCAGTCCTATGCCTGGTCCCACATTTGCCAACAACATGGGCTACCAGTGGGTGAAGCCCCAGCTGGTGAGGACTGGAAAAGCTGAAAGTGACACTGTCAGCACTTCCAATGAAAGCTGCTGGGTCCTGTCTAGAGAGAAAACATAAGCCCAAGAGCCTTATGAAACAATAAGAAGTTCATATCTGGGAGTGCAATCAAGTGGGCAATTTGAGCACGCTTGACAACTCTAGTCAATTCCACAAGGATTAGCACCATCAAGCGGGCAGGGGGGCGGCACTGATCACCTCATACTGCATAACATCAGGTGATTCAAACTTCAAAAGAGAAATCTGTTTTTCCTTTGCAGACCTGGCCTGAATTTAAGCTGGGACTGCAAAGGAAGGATTTTTTTTTTTGCAGTTGTGGTTGAACTGAAAATTCCTGCCAAAAGTAGGACCCCACTCGGTGCTGAATTTAAATTCAGGGCTGACCACATGCCCCACTTTGTAAAGAAATAAGCAGGGGTTGACTTTGGGCTCTCAAATTTCAGTGGCACTCTGTGTGATGCTAAAATTCAGTGCCCACCAGTCTCTTACACCCCTGTAGGGAGGCACCCAGCCCAACCACATTGGTTGTGCTACCCCAAAACTGCCTGTTCTACTGAGGGAGTTCCTGAGTAGAGCTGATTTTCAGTCAGGGTTGCAGTTGGGGACAAACTTTAATTCAGTGCTGACCCCAAGTCCATTTTCACCAGGGACTGACTGCTCAACTGGGCATCTGAGCCATGGGGGACCATTAACAGTGACTCCCCCAAAAGCCTCAGGCAGGCATATTATGAATCAAGCAGTCCTTGAAGCATCCTGGACCCAGACTGTGAAGGCCTTGTAAATTAATAAAAGAACCTTAAGCCTGGCCTGGAAGCTAGTGGTAACTTTTGAGTACAGGAATTATGCTCTGGTGACAGGCGGCCTCCATCAGACCTTGTTTTTCCCCAGCGATGGAACCTGGGACACCTAGAGCAGGGGTCGGCAACCTAAGGCCCATTGGCAGGGGGTCATTTAACCGGCCCATGAGCCGCCCCTGAACCGAGTTGCCCACTCAGCAAGTCCCCGTGCGCTGTGCTAAACTGGCGAAGTGCGGTGCAGGGACTCACTTCCGTGGCGTCGGAAATCACATCTGCGTGGATGCAGATGTCAGAAATCACGCATGTGCGTGATCTGGCCCACAGAGGGATCTCTGCTGCAATGAACTGGCTCAGGCAAGGTAAACCTTGCTGACCCCTGACCTAGAGGCAGGGAAAGTGGATATGATGCCTGATAGTGGAAGCCAGGCCAGGTCTCTGCCTTCCAAGAAAACTCCTCCTTTCTTCTTCCCTTCTCACAAATGCGACCAAGAACCTGGTTATGCATTAAAATGGGTTCAGAGGCAGCTTCTGCAGCGGACAAAATAGAGCTGGCTTCACCAGGCATGGGGATCCTTTTTTGGCCCTAGGATCACATTCCCTTCCTGGAAATCTTCCAAGGGCCACATGCTAGGAGTGGGCAGAAACCAAAAGCCAAAGTGGGCACAGCCACAGAGGCAAATGTTTCCTTTGTGCCAGTGGCTAGTTTCTAAACACACACACTCACACACCCCTTCATTCAGGCAAGCAAGACACATAATCGTAGGCCATGGACACTTCCGAGCCTGGCAAAAACACTCAAGGAGCATGAGAAGCAGCACCAGTGAGGAGTGTAGCCTGGAGAGAGTTTTGAGGGCTGGAGAGAGAAGCCTTGAGGGCCTGAGTTTTCCCACCACTGGAATACACCATCACTCAATATCACTATACCTTATGCTGGTATCTGTTGTCAAAAGCATGTTTTATCAGAAGGCTCTTCAAGATGCTGATGGCCATGGATCTGATGTCGTAGTTGTCATGCAGAGCCATAGACGTCTCTCTCAGGAGCAAGCCCACTAAGTAGTGGTGGCGGCAATATTCATCAGACAAGCTGTATTCAAGGTTTGCATCTGCCGTGGAAATGAAAAACAAGGGCCATGTTTCACTTTCTGTGACTGCAGTGCGTTAAGGGCTTGGGTGGCAGCGATGGCAATGCAGCCTCTCAAGGCAACGGGCTGAGCTGCCATGTGGGTCACACAGGGGAATAAGGCAAGCAGGAGGGACTCTGGCTGTTGTTGGCTAGTTTGTGCGGATCTCGTTATGACAGGCAGAAAGGCCCAAGGAAAGATGAAGGGGCCTAGGAAGTTAGCAAGTCAAGTGAAGGTGAGTGGGTGATGGAGACAGCACCATGAGTTGGCATGGTAGGAACATGAGAACTTAAAAAATTAAGAAGAGCTTGCTCAATCAGGATATTAACCGATCAAGTCCAGCATCCTATTCTCACAGTGGTCAAATGTTGTAATCCACCCTGGGATCTTGAGTTGAAGGGCAGTAAGTAAATAAATAGTAATTAACAACAAGTGGCCATACCAGGTGCCCCAGTGGGAAAACCTGCAAAAAGGATTCGAGCACAAGAACAGCTTCTGTGGTTTCCAGCAACCGGTCTTCAGAAGCATCACTGCCTCCCAGTGTGGAGGCAGAGCATAGACATCATGGCTATTAACCATCAATAGCCTTGTCTTCCATGAATTGTCTAATCCCCTTTTAATGACATCCCTGCCTCCTGTGGGAGGTCTTGAAGATCATCTGAGGAGATCCTGCTAGTTGTTTCATGACAAGTGGATTTCAGTGAATTATCTGGAAGCCGGCCTTCTTGGAGAGAGCAGCCGGCATCAGGAATGCCCTCCCTTGGGCCATTAGCAAGGCAGCAACATTAATAACCATTAAGAGCCTCTTAAGAGCATATGTTTATCCTAGCTTTCCTCTTTTAGTTTTATTTCTCTACTGCTCAGGTTTATTTGTGCCTGGTGGCAATGATTAGGGCTGGATGATATACTGTCCAAAACCAGTTTGAAGTCCATATTACAATATTGGTTTCACAGTACTTGACCTGGCAATATACTGTGAATCATTATGTGCATGTACACATGTGCCAAACTATAGTGGGCCCTGGGGGTCCAAGCACCTGCCAAAATTTTCTTGTAGGTGCTCAGCACCCACACTGCAGGGCCCCCAGTGCAACTTCTGGTGCCTCGCAAGACCTCGGAACCTGACTTCCAGTGCCAGAAACACCACTACTGAGACAATGTCCTTCCCCGTCATGTTGAATCTGCCTTATGCTAAGTGCACCTAGCTCATTATTTTCTCTCTAGGGTTTGGTGCAGCGTTTCCCTCAAACCTCTCCAAGTTGCTCCCTTTAATGCTGGGGACTGAACCTGGGACCTTCTAGATTAGGGGTAGGCAACCTAAGGCCCGTGGGCCGGACGCGGCCCAATCGCCTTCTCAGTCCGGCCCACGGATGGTCCAGGAATCCACATGTTTTTACATGAGTGGAATGTGTGTTTTTATTTAAAATGCATCTCTGGGTTATTTGTGGGGCCTGCCTGGTGTTTTTACATGAGTAGAATGTGTGCTTTTATTTAAAATGCATCTCTGGGTTATTTGTGGGGCATAGAAATTCATTCATCCGCCCCCCCCCCAAATATAGTGTGGCCCACCACATGGTCTGAGGGACGATGGACCAGCCCACAGCTGGAAAAGGTTGCTGACCCCTGTTCTAGATGCAAAGCACATGCTCTAGTAGTGGGGTACAAACCCTCCCATAACCACCAGCAGCAATTATATTGTC